TTTAACTTTTTGCTGTATGGTTTTGGTCTTAGTTAACTTTTCTTTGCTTTCTTTCATCACCTGCTGTTCTTTTTGTTGCCATTTTTTACTAGCTGATTGAAGAGCCAAAAGACGAAGCTGTAATTCAGATAGTTCTTCTTCATCTTCACCAAGTTTCTTTTAAAATGGGAAACAATTCAAATTCGTAAATTTCATTATTTGATCTTAAACATTTTTCTAAGTCAAAACATTTCTATCCTTAAGGCAAATAGTTAAAAAAGAAAATACAGATCTAAAAAGGGAAACTCTGGAGATTAGAATCCAACAACAACCCCAAGCAAACAGATAAGCAATCTTTTTACAGTCTTGATATCTATGCTGACCCAACACAGGGTCAGTTATGTGTCAGTTCTGACTGGATAGCAATGAGCAGAAGGAAATTAAATTACTTACAAATAATCTAATACTTGAATTCAATGACACAAACTTTCAGAACAAGAGAGCTCCTTGGAGGCAAGGTTGGCGAAGCTTTCTCACCTACTTTGGGCATGTGGTTAAGAGAGGCTATTCCTTGGAGAAGGACATCATGCTTGGAGAGGTGGAGGGTGAGCAAAAAAGAGGAAGACCTTCAAGAACATAGACACAATACCATGTGCAGCAATAAACTCAGGTGTGTCAAGGATGTTAAGGATAGTACAGGATAAGACATGGTTCAGGTCAATTGTTCATAGGGTTGCTCTAAGTTGTACTTGACAGCACTCAATAACAACAATAATAAAAACAGAATATTGATGTCAGGCATGGTTTTTGCAATGTAAGAATTCTGTAACAGTAACAAATTCAAAAAAAGGAATGCTATAGGGGAAAAAATAGAATACTGATTTGTGGAAGGTGTATATATACATGTAAGTGTGTAGAACTCAGGTGCAAAGTAGGAAAGAGCCTACAAAAAGGAACAAAATTATACAGAACAAACTGTTAAGAGATAGAAACCAGCATTTAACTGGCCTTTCCAAACTACAAAGAGTAAAAATCTACGGCAAGAAAATGGGGGAAAAAAAATCAAAAGAACCCAGGAGGGGAAAGGAATGAAGTGAAAGAAAAAGAGTATCTTTTTTGTGTGTGTGTGTGCATGTACCATCAAATCAGATCTGAGTGGTACAGGAGGAGATTGCCCCTCCTTCCCTGGCAGAGCATCTGGTGGATTCGAACCGTGCACCTCTGGGATTGTAGTTGCAGCTTCTTGCCACTAGGCCACCAGAGCTCCCAAAGAAAAAGAGTATCTTAAAATGAAGTCTTTGTATCCCACCATCACTGTTCCTAGTCTACAGCCAAAATTACTGTGGTTTTTCTCTTATATACTCCACTAAGCTTTTCTTTTTTTTTTATTGGTACTATGATGAGTAGTAGCTTGATATATATTGCTTTTCTCTTCATTCATCTTATAAAATTATCATTAACACTATGAGCTGGTCATTTTAATGTATAGGAATGGTAGCAATAGAGTTGAGTAAGAACTGTCACATCTTTTGACATGAATTTATAATGGCATAAACTGGCAAGTATTATATGTCACATGGACAATTATAACTGAAACTCTAACATGATGGGTAATGGTATCTATACACTTACAAAATTATTTCTTTTAATAAAATGTTTAAGTTCCAAAATCATGTGATTAGCTTCACAAATAATACACAGCACAGATACCTGGCATGTAAAGATAACAAATTTTCTTTTTGTATTATGCTTAATTCTTTATACTAATAAAGAAAAAGAACTGCAGAGATTTGCTTAAACTTTAGCTTCATGTGTTCAAGTTACAGATAATAATGTGTCTGAATATCGAAAAATACTGAAATACCCAAAACTTTAGATAGGCTAAAATAAGAAGGTATCTTAAAAGCAAATATTTAAGAACTGCTACCAGATCAAAATAAGTTTTCATTCTACTCCTTTCTGATATAATTTTAAAAGTAATTTTTCTTCAATTTTAGCTAAAATGTAACATTAAAAGGATCAAGCTATTCAAAGAGAGGTTATTAATTGAAGTTGACGGATTTTGAGGAGGAAGAGGTAGCACTACTGACCCTATAAACACTTGAAGCTAAATGCAAAAGTGTTTTTCTTCCTATGTGTTCAAGGGGGACAGAGAGTCAAAAGATGTGTAAGACTCCAGAATGTTAAGGCCTACTTACCTAGTAACTCTTTTATTAGTAAGTGAATAGTCAGTCTACATAATAAAAAGCTTTTATTAAAAGAAATGAAGATTGGAGAGAGAAGTGCAGCAGTGAATGAATGGAAATCCAAAATCTCTGTAAATGTTCATTAAAATTATTTTTAAAAAATTTAAAAAAAAAAAAGAAATGCAAAATAAAAACCCAAAAAAAAGTGAAGACTGTTATTTTTTTTTTCCTTCTAAAATCTGGAGACTAAGGTGCGTCTGATACAGGCTATGGTCTTCGCAATCACTTGTTATGCATCACAGAGTTGGACAATGACCAAGGAGGATAGAAGGAAAATTGATGCCTTTGAGCTGTAGGAGAATTGATGCCTTTGAGCTGTGGTGCTGGAGAAGAGTATTGAGAATACCATGGACTGCTAGGAAAACAAACAGATTTGTCCTGGAAAGGGTTAAACCGGGTGACTCCTTGGAGGCAAGGATTCTGAGGCTCCGTCTAACATACTTTGGACATGTTGTGAGGAGAGACCAGTCCTTGGAGAGAGACATCATGCTTGGGAGGGTGGAGGGACAGCGCAGGAGAGGAAGGCCCTCTATGAGGTGGATTGATTCAGTGACTGGGATAATTGGGATGGGAGTGTCAGAGACAGTGCGACTGCCACAGGACAGAGCGGAGTTTAGGGCTGTTGTACATAGGGTCGCTATGAGTCGCAAGTGACTCGACGGCACATAACAACAACATTCTTTTTATTCATAGCATAAAAAAAATGTGTCCTCTAAATGGTTACTTTTAATGTAAACTATCCAAAATTATTCAAAGACCAACAAATACTTTGGTTGTTGTTACATATCAGTGAGTCAGAATCAACTCATAGCTGACCCTCCAGATGGTTTTCAGAGGCTGAAAACTATACAGCAGGAAACTGACAATATTTCTCCTGCAGAGCAGCTGTTGGACTCAAACTATGTTCCTCTGAACTGGCAACCTAACTCCTTACCTACCACTAAGCCACCAGCGCTCCATCTAAATACTTTTTAGTACTTCAATTTACCCAATTAGTCCTTCTACTGTTGCAAAATTATGTAAACATTTAGATTAATAATTAGTGCAATTACTTTTTTATTCTATATCACTAAAACGGCTTGAAATGACACAGGTTACTCAGCTAATAAGAGTTAGAATTAGATAACAAGTCAATCTAATGTAAAATTTTAATGCACAGGTTAATTCCCCACCAACACAATAGGAAAAATAATCTCTGAATAAAAATGAAAATTTATAAGCAAATAAAAAAAAATCTATAAATATATTTAACACTTCAATTACAGACATAAAAACTTGACATTCGAAAAACAGTGGAAATATTCTCTAGATGTTCTTATCTTTAAGGTTTACATACAAACAGGGATATGCAAGGATAGGAAGGAAAAGAGGAAAAAATAAAGCAAGAAAACAAAAGAGTAACATGAATCAGCACATGAATCAGTCTTCAATCCCACAAAGCAGTATCTTACCTTTTCAGACAAAATATCTGAAGTACTAATTCTTCTTGTTAAATTTTGTTCTTTATCTTCTAACCCTTTAAAATAAAATAGCATCTTTTGAGTATTCTAATAATCATAGACAAAGTTAAATACTGTTATGCATTGTTAGTAATAATTAAAGAATCTCTATAAAAAGTCTCTCAAAAAGATTTTCTCAATCTCTCAAATGAAAAGAATGTTATTAAACTTAACATCCTACCAGCTTCATTTTTTAAGTTATGAGGAAAAATGAGTCAAAATATTAAATAATAAATTGAAATTACATAGATAATCTCTGAACTAAATTATTCAAAAAGAAAAAAACTTATAGTGTAGCTAGTGATGTTCAGTTGTTGATTCCAACCCAATTCATGATGACTTTCCATCAGGCTTCTGAAAGTACATGAATCTGAAAGTACAGGAAGAGACTGCTGCATCTTTATCCTTTGAAGCGACTAATGGATTCACATCATCCGCATTTTGGTTAACAGCATAAAAACCCACTGCTCCTTAAAAGTTTATTACAAACACTAATAAAATTACGACTAAATTCAACATTTAGAGATTGTCTTAGATTTGTGAATAACAAATTATGGCTAACACTGAGAAGAATGCGAATATCCAAATACTTAATTGTGCTCATGCGAAACCTATACATAGACCAAGAAGGAGTTGTTCAAATGGAACAAGAAAATATTGCATGGTTAAGTCAGGAAAGGTGTGTCACAGGCTTGGGCTTATATTCTTTCTCCATACTGAATAGCCCATGGACTGCTAAGAGAACAAACAAGTTCATCCCGGAGAATGTGAAACCAGAGTCTTTCTTCGAAGCAAAGATGGTCTAATTCCATCTCAAGTACTTTGGGCATACTGTCAGGAAGGGCCAGCCATTAAAGGAAAATATACCTAGAAACATGATGGATCAGCAAAGAAAGGAAGACTGTCAACAAGATGGACTGACACAGTGACTGTAACAAATAAAAAATTTAAACAAAAACAAAGGACACTTTTGAGTCATTTTGAAGGCAAAGTGCTATACTTACAGTAATAACTGGCTTTTTAAAATTTAAACATTTAACAAAAATATAAAGTTGGGCTGTTTAACCAGAAAATCTGCCTCAGGTGATATTGTTGTTGTTGTTATGTGCCGTCGAGTCGTTTCCGACTCATAGCGACCCTATGCACAACAGCCCTAAACCCTGCTCTATCCTGCGCCAACCGCACCGGCCTCTGACACACCCATCCCGATTACCCCAGTCACCCAATCAATCCATCTCATAGAGGGTCTTCCCCTCCTGCGCTGTCCCTCCACCCTCCCAAGCATGATGTCCCTCTCCAAGGACCCGTCCCTCCTGGCAACATGTCCAAAGTATGTCAGACGAAGCCCCAGAATCCTTGCCTCCAAGGAGTAGCTTGGTTTAATCCTCTCCAAGATGAATCTGTTTTCCTGGCAGTCCATGGTACATTCAGTACTCTTCTCCAGCACCACAGCTCAAAAGCATCCACTCTATGTGAAAACTCCCTGGAGGGTCAGTCATTAACTGGTTCTAACTCAACAGCACATATCAACAATGCATTTTCTTTTTTTTTGTCCAAGTTCTAGGGACAGTTTTGAGTATTATTTCTCTAGTCCCCATCATCACCATAAGCACTGTGATTTTTATTGTGCAATTCTATACAATATAGTGATTTTTTTCCGAACGTTTTATGTCATACTACAGCAAAATTGACAATACCTCAAAGAATGTAAGTTGTTATGTGCCATGAAGTCACCTGCAACTCATAGCGACCCTATGTGCAACAGCCCTAAACCCTGCTCGATCCTGTGCCAATCTCACTGTCTCCAGCACACCTACCCCAATTATCCCAGTTACTCAATCAATCCACATCACAGAGGGTCTTCCTCTCCTGCACTGTCCCTCCACCCCCCCCAAGTGTGACATCCTTCTCCAAAGACTGGTCCCCCCCCCTTGTAACAAATCCAAAGTATGTCAGATGAAGCTTCAGAATCCTTGCCACTAAGGAGCAGTCTGGTTTAACCCTCTCTAGGCTGAACCTGTTCATTTTCCTAGCAGTCCATGGTACACTCAATACTCTTCTCCAGCACCACAGCTCAAAGGCATCAATTCTTCTATCCTCCCTAGTCATTTTCCAGCTCTCTGACACATAGCAAGTGGCTGCAAAGACCATGGCCTATCAGGTGTACCTTAGTGTCCAGAGTAACACCATTGCTCTTCAGTACTTTGAAGGGGTCCCTAACAACAGACTTTACCATTGCAATGTCTTTTCATTTCCTGGCTGCTGGTGTAAAAAGTGTTGACTGTGGAGCCAAGCAAACTAAAGCTATGAACAATCTCAATCTCAATCTCTTCATCATCCATCCTGATGCTGCCAATTGACCCAGTGGTGAGAATCTTTGTTTTTTTGATATTGAGCCTCAATCCATATTGAAACATGCAGTCCTTGACCTTCTGCAGCAAATGCTTCAGGTCCTCCTCAGTTTCAGCAAGCAGGGTTGTGTTACCTGCATAATGCAGGTTGTTGATGAATCTTCTTCCAATCCTGTTGCCACACTTCTCCTCATATAGCCCAGCCTCCCAGATAATCTGTTCTGAATGTAGGGTGAAAAGGTATGGAGACAGGACACATGCCTGGCATACACCTTTCCCAACTTTGAACCATGCAGTATTTCCTTGCTCTGTTCTGACAACTGCCTCCTGGTTCAAGTACAGGTTTCACATTAGCACGATCAAGTGTTCTAGGATTCCCATTCTTCTCAGAATCAGCCACAGTTTGTTGTGATCCATAAATTAATAGGGAAAATTAAGACAAGCAGCTTCCCACATACACATAATGCATTAATATTTTCTCCTATCTACAAAACCCAAGATGTCTATTATCTATTAGGTCATGAGAAGCTTATCGATTGACTGTATCTCCCATCTATAAAACGTAGCAGCACTTCTCTTAAGGTATCAATTTATCTGGACACCATATGAGCACAATGTTACCTTAAAAACAAGCGTTAAGTCCTAAGTTTGTAGAAACTGGTATTTATACAAAGATTATAAATTTGTTATTGCTTAATCAATAAACATGTTGGCACTGTCCTGTATTAATACTGCCATGTTGAGTCTCTACAATAAAATTATTTCAATTCTAACTCAAAATTTAAAAATCAGAAACTGGTCTTATACAATACTCAAAAGATTATTAAGCTGGAGATAAGAGTTTCAGGATATAGATTAATAGTTAAAATAAGAACAGGGCATAATAAAAGACATAGAAGGAAAATCAGAAAATTTCAAGAAAACTCACAATACATATAATATCATACAACCCCCAAAATTTCTAAGGTAAAGAAACATTTTTGAACATAGAACTTAAAAAATATTTGACATCAGCATTCCCAACCATAGCAACAGGATAAGCTTTTAAAAGTATCAATTATGTCAGTCTTTGCTCAGAGTTCTTTAACAACTTATTTCACTCAGGAAAATAAAGTTCTTACAAGGCTTTACATGATTTTCCTCACCCGACACACCTCTGACCACTACTCAAAACCAAATGAGTTGCCACCAAAGTCAATTCTGAGTTATAGCAAGTCTCCATCAGATTTTCAAGGTTGTGAATCTTATCAGAGGTGAGGGCACATCTTTTCCCACAGAGTCATTTCATTCAACTTTTTGTTTACCAGTGCAATCGATTTTTTGTTTCATCTTAAACCTGCCAGGAACCCTTTTGCCTTAGGGTCATTAATTATTCTCCAACGTTATCATGTACCAGAATCAGAAGGCTCGCTTGTTAAACACAGATTTCTGAGGTCTAATTCCAGAGTTTCAGATGCAGTTTATCTGGGTCAGGCTTAGGAATACTAGTGGTACAGTGGACTCCTAATCAAAAAGCTCACTCCATTAAGCACTCCATGCAAGAAAGAGGTGGCAACGTGCTTCCATAAACATTTACAACCTTGGAAAAACACACTGGGCCGTTTTACTCAGTACTTCAGTGACGGATCAGCATAGAGTTAGGGGTTGTTACTGTCATTGCTAGGTGCTGTTGAGTCAAACAGCCAACTTGAGCCCTGCCCTGTCCTGTGCCATCTTCATCACCTCTGATACAGTAGAACCCACTACTCAATCCATCTCATTGGGGGAATGTATTCCCCTCCTTTGCTGACTTTCCATCTTTCAAAGAATCATGCCCCTTTCCAAGAACAGCCTTCACTAGCTACTTGTTTTAAGTATGAAAGACACAGCTCCACCATCTTTGCCTCCAAAGAGTTGCATCTTTTGATGACACACCTATTTGTTCTTTTGGCAGTCCCTGGGTTATTCAGTGTTCTTCTCCAGTACTACAGTTCTATGGAATCAACAGTTTTTCTGTCATTCAGTTAGGAGTTAGGCCTAATAATTTACATTTTTATCAAAATCCCTACTAATCAGAGTCTGGGGAGCATAATTTAAAAAAAAAAAACCACTCCTTTAGCTATTGTCTTTGCCAAAAAACCCCTTCCACAAGATATCCATTGGGCTACTCCCTTAATATATAATATTAATTATTTTTTAAGTCTCTAGGTCACCTTTGAATTGAGGCCTATACCTGACTAGCGTATTAACAATGCCATCTGTATTCCCTTCTGTGATCTTACATATCCTACTTTGTTTTTTAAATTTAATTAACCATTTTCTTCTACCAGAACAGATAATTTATCATGTCTATGTAAGCCTATGATAACACAAATGCTTTTTCTATTTTGTACATTGGTAGTTTCAGGAGCCCAGAATAGAGTGCTTGATTAATTTTTGTCAAATGAACAGAGGAATAAAATGATAACTGTCCATTAAATTGTACAATTAAATCATAAATAATCTATTTGAGTAATGTCAGTGTTATAACAGAGGTAGGAAATCAGACTGAATCAGTTAATGGGGAGATAGAGTACAAAAAGTACAGCTCAGTCTTTCCAGAGCTTTGTTTAAAATGAAAGTACGTGATAGAAGTAAAAGGACAACAAAAGAGGAAAGGGTATGTAAATTTTCAGATGGAAAGCTCAAGATTGTTTATAATGAGAAGGCTTTATAAGCATATAACTATTGGTTTTTATTTGTCCAGAAGAAAGGAAAAACAGGAAATTCAAGAATCAAAGAGGGAAGTATGTTGTAGGACTACCTCCAAGAACTACTTGCCTTGCCTACCAAAAGAACTACTTGGTGCTCTGCTACAGTTACTCTACATCCTGATTAAGAGAGACTCAATAGAAAGGGGACGAAAATTGGAATAGAATTTCAAATCCTTAAGTAACCTAGACATACTGGTTGTACTGAGACTGGAGTCGTCACTGGTAATAGTGCTCTGGAGTATTCTCTAAAGCTTGAATCAAAGCTATTCCCTGAAGTAATCTTTACAGTAACAATTTACCTCAATAAGATTGTATTGTATGTGCTTTTAAAAACTTATCTGTAAAAGACTGTGCTATCTCAGGTTATTCAGTGAGATTTTTCTAGCCATTGATATTTTAGCTTTTATCACATGGCTAGGTAGAAATATACAAATTTTGTCTGTATTGCCACCAAAGCGAACAATTAGCTAATAATGTAAATAGCACCTGGGGGGAGGGACATGCAAATAAGATGTGTAGACTATTATTACAGGCATTTATCATGTTTTATCACTCCACCAGGCTTAAAATTAACAGGTTCAGAGAGGTAGGAAATGGGATTCTCCAAAAATCTCTGTACTAGAGATTCCTACACTACTCAGAAACTCAAACGAGATCACCACTAGTGGCAGCAGAAATGATGATGATGGAGAACCAGAGACTAGTTTAAGATGGAGCTGAACTAGAACCATATCCCATGGAGCTAGAGCCAAGGAACTTCAACTAGTTTTACTGGCAGAGCAGGAGAGGGAATACACATAATAGAGGCTTTGTAAAAGCCTAAAAAAGGTCTTGTAACATTGGCTCAAGGAATCTAATAGTGGAGTGGGTGGGACAGTCATTGCTGGGACAGCTGGTGTTAGAAGAGACAGAAATAGGTGCAGGACTGTGGTGGTGGTGGCATGTCTCACCTCACAGGAGTCAGTTTTGCCTAAGTGATACTGTTGGAGATTCTTCCCCCTTCTAGGGTTAGTGGAAATCAAGTGCTGGCATCTACTCATCCATGTCTAACACACTGCTTTTAAAAACTAAATGGGAGGGAGCTCTGGTGGCCTAGTGGCAAGCAGCTGCAACTACAATCCCAGAGGTGCACGGTTCGAATCCACCAGATGCTCTGCTGGGGAAGGAGGGGCAATCTCCTCCTGTACCAGTCAGATCTGATTTGACGGTACACGCACACAAAAATAATAAAATTTAAAAAAAAAAAACAAACTAAATGGATAACAACTATCCTAAAACAAAGACGAGAATGGAAGAGGCAATTCTTTTTAAGTCAACATAGTGTAACAATTAGAACAGAAATAACAATGTCAGGTAACCCAATGTTAAAAGTAACCTAACAGCACTACTAAGGAAAGCTGTCTGGAACTTCCTCAAGAGTTGGAAATACAAGTAACTATTTGTTCCAGCAATTCAACTTTCTGAATATACTCCAAATAAATAAGAGTGACAACACAAACAAATACACAAACACATTCTCACTCACTTTTACTGAAGCATTACTTAACAAAGAGCTGGAAATAACCCCAAATGTCCATCAACCAACAAATGGCTAAGGAAACGAATATATTCACACAGTGGATTATTATGCATCACTAAAACAATGATTAAGAATTTGTAGGGGGCAATCTCCTCCTGTACCAGTCAGATTTGATTTGACGGTACACGTAAAAAATAATACAATGAAAAAATAGAAAAAAAGGACAATTTCCAATTAAAAAAAAATTGTGAAACACTACATGGTTAAATCTACAACAAATAAGCTGTGTGACATAAGTTATCCATAAAAAGATAGTAACAGTTATTAAAGACCACTAATGTAAAAAGCTAATGAAAGGTTTACACACAGTACAAATTTTGGAGAGATAACAGGAATACGGAGATAGAGAAAGGGGAGTAAAAACCAATAAATAGGTAAGTTGAGTGAAGGAAAAGACAACATACAATATTATAAACCAAAACAACTTATGAATGACTACACAAAAAACTAGTATGATTTGTAAACTTTCATTCAAATAAAAAAGTATTCCTTAAATATTTCCACACCTAAAAAAAAAGCATTCCCTTGAGACCAAAAAAAAAAAAAAATGTCCACTATTATAACTTCTGTTCCACTTTGTACTTTAAGTCCTCATCAGTATTTAAGACCAAAGAGGACTAAGATACAAACTGGAAAAAATAAAACTTGTCATTGTTCCATATTATGACATCTACCTAGAGAATACAAGAAAAATCACTCATACATTATCAGAATAAGTCCAATTATCAACACAATTAGTTACTCCTTTAGTGTAGGGCACCATCTTATTATTAAAATATTTCATTCCATTACCTTGGCTAGGTTCAGTAGTGTCAGATTTCAGGGAAAGAGGTTTTGCTGCATCTTTAACTTTTTTCAACCGGTTTTTATCTCCTGGTAAAGTCAATTTTTGCCTGAGTGGTTTCAATTCAAATGCCTGAAAAGTTTTAACCTGTGTTTTCTCCTCAGGAGCTATTTCTTTACTTGAGTCCTTTGTAATACTGACATTATCAGTGCTTATTTGGTCCTCAAAGTTCAATGGTTTATTAGAGTCTTCTTGCACAGTCTCCTCTTTGCTACTCAAAGCAAGCTTTTCATCCTTATTGATGCACTCAAGTTCTAACTGTATTTGCTTATATTTCAAAAGCAAATCTTCAAAAGTCTCTTCCCCACAGTTTTCACTTTTTGATGAGTAATTCTGTTTTCTTGACGGAGATCTTCCAAAACTTTTGGCTGCACAGGGTGTTAAGGAAACCAACTTCCCCAAATCAGTAGTTAAATCTAACAAAATAACTTAGGTGAATTTTTATTCCCTTTTTCTTACATTTTTCAAGAAAGATGAATTGAGATTCTTACTACTAAATTTAATAAAATTCCATTTAAAATGTTTTGCCAATTAATCACTTGAAGTGCTCTTATTTCAAATTTAACAAATATCCATATAAATCATCCATTTATACTATAACTGGTCTCAGTAATTAATTACCCTTAGCAGTAATTACTCCTTACTCATTACATCAGCAGTCCATCTAGTAAACTATAGCATCTTTCCTTTTATAGGTGCCAAGAAAGCGCAAAACCGGATGTCAAAGAATCTTTTCTGAGGAAGAGAAGAAAAACTGTCAGGGATGTAATTTATACATGAGGTAACCAGGATGAAACTATTCTTCTCTTCAGTTTCTTCTCACATCTCATTATCGGAGGGGGGGGGGAATAGAATACAAAATAAACAATTGAAAATTAGTATTAGTCCATGAGTAAGAAAAACTTGACGTTTAACAAGCTTAAAGTTCTTCAAGCAGTCTATGCAAAATGAAAACTTCTGGTATCTCTACAGTAAAATAGAAGAACTGATAGATTCTCAAAAGTATCTTGAAAAATAAATTATCCTCAAAGACTAGAAGATTTCAACAAATTATTTTTCCTATTTTATTCTTTAATGGTGACACATGAATAAATTTTTCTTTCCTTTGAGATGGCTTAGTTCTAAACTTTTTCCCCATAATAATTCACATATATAGGAAACTGTTACATTTCATTTCTCCAGCCTGGGAAATACTGAGAAATAGACTTATACACAGTTTAAATACAGTGCATTATCTAATGGTTATTATGAATTGGTTACAACATACCTAGTGTCCCTATCTGTTTTTTCCATAAACTATTCATTCACAGGGCAAGCAGTTGGCAGTGAATTTTAAACTCCCCTGTAATTCAAAAACAATACTCACCACCAAATATCTGAGAAACAAGTATTAAAACTGAAAATCAGGCTTTTAACAATTCTGCTTCAAAGTGGTTTTAACAAATCTTTAGTTATCTGTTTTCTCAAGGGTCACATATCAAAAAAAAGCTTGGTACTTCTGATTCTCTCTTTAATCAAATGTTATCTGGTTTCTGGCTCATTAATCTACAGAAAGTGATGTTATTATAAAAACAGTATGTTCTAAAAATGAAAACGAACCTTTCAACATAAGATTACTCACTCATTTTCCAAGCTGAACACTAATTACTTGTCCTTTTTTTAAGTCTTCATGGCTCCTGGTTCCTTTTATCTCCAACTCTAGTACTAATAGTGTTCTCCAGTGAGCTTTCCCTAGCTTTCTTGTTATAGGAGCATTTTCATGTACTCTCTTAGTTTTATCTACCATAGGACAGAAGTATGACAGTCTTAAGAGACATAGAGTTCTGTATTTCTCCCAAGCTGTCTCCCATACTAGGATCGGCGTAATCTTTCTAAATATAATACTATTCAGATCATTTCCCTTATTTAAATCTCATTAAACAGCCCAAGCCCTTAAGACATGTGATGGGCTTTTGTGATCTGTCCAGTATTTTACCTTTCCAATGTCACCTTTTCCTTGTTCACTACAATTTACACAAAGTTCTAAACTGTTATTTAATGAATGAGAAAGACAATAGAAGGTAAGACCACTTCATCATCTCATCTAACACAGAAATTAAGTTTAAAAAGTTTGAACTCCCACAGTACCTTAATCTCAACTTTTTACACTGAACTGTAATTATTTCTTTACATTACAAAACATAAACTCTATGTTTTATCTTTGTATTCTTTAAAACAAAAAAAACCCTACATATACATGTATAGAGTCCTTCTTGGATTTAGAATCAACTGTCAAAGCATGGACTTTTAAAAAAAAACCCACTAAAACTGTACAGGTTTAATAAAGAACCACCTCTGGTTTTGTCTGCGTTTTTTTCTTCATAAATTAAATATCTAAATAATTTTTCTGAAAAAAATTTCTAACCCAACTAATGGTTGTGGCTTTCAGGGAATTAGAAGTGGTTGTTTCTCACCTGAATTTATGTTTCTTGCTTGCTTTGCATCATAACATCTAGAGATGGCCACATTGGCCCTTCCTGTTCTTAAAAAAATTTTTGGTAAAACAATGAAAGAATTTTTCTTTTACTTTTCCAAGAGGGTAGCATACTATGGTTGGAAGGGGAGAAAAGCACAATATGAATGAATGAAAATCCAAAGTCTCTGTAAGTTTTCATTGAAGTTAATAATAAATTTTTAAAAATTTTAAAACAGAAAATTTAAAAAAAACGTTGAGTGTATTCATGAATGCAGGTTCTTTGGCTCCTCCACAACATAACAATGTGAGGAGGACCAATCTTGGTCCTTAGTATTGCAGAAAAATGATTCAGGATGTCTTACTAATATCATTACATATACATTTCATATACAATAAATAAGCAAGCATTACACCATGGAAATTGCATTCAGTGACAAATATGCTTATGAAAACTTTTATGCAGTCATCAAAGAATAAGTCAAAAATCCATATCCACCATACAACAGTGTATCTTCAGATTATTTACTCTTCAGTTAATACCAGTAAGTAAACTCAGTAATATAAAAGCTATCTAAATATGAAGCTTGAGGAAACAAAAATAAAAATTTTGTTTCTCAGCTTTCAACCTCTCATACCCATCCTCATGGTCTGTAATACTGTAAAATAAAAATGTTACTACATTTCTCTCTGGTTCACATCTGGGTTATGAAATAACCAAAAAGTAAACACAAGAAAAAGACATTAAAGAGCTAAAGCTTTCCAAAAAGATACATATCCTTTACACTTGAATTAACCCAGTTGGTAAAAGGACCAGGGGTTTGGGTTTCAATTTTCTCACTGTTTTCCTTTATGTTTTAACCAGTTCACGTCAAACTGGTAAATACAAATCAAGAAAAGTGAAAAAAATAGAATCACAAATAAGAATAGTAGGATTATGCTGAATTAAACTTCTGACATTTTCAAAAGCATTTTCAATGTCAAAGTGCACTGTGATATAAGCAACACTATTACTAAAATGGTTTCTTTTTTCCCCCCTTCCCCCAACCAAGTAAGTCAATTTCACACAAAACACGAAAACTACTGTATCGGCAAAAACAAATGTTAATGAAGGTTAGAGGTCTGATTTTAGACGATCTTCGACTTCAGTAAATTTGGCCTTAACCCAAAACACACAAGTGTTAAGCAAACAATATATCCACTAAAACAAACTTAAGAGACACTGCTACAGTGGTACACGGGAATTAAACAAAAGGTCACTTATATGGACACAAAGGCAAATGAGAGGGTCTGATGGTTGAGAAAAGTTAACGCTCATTTCACAGACCTAGTAAGGACGCGGACGGGAACTTTCTAAAGCCAGGGACACACCCAGGGCCAAGCGCCACGTTAAGGATACAGTTCTTGCGCGGTGGAGAGGGCTCTCGCCAGCTCTGACTGCTGCTGAATCCGGATCCCGTGCCTCCTCCCAGGGGAGGTCGGCCCCCCGGCTTGACTCCTCGCTCACCCCCTCCACGTCCCCGACTCCAGCGACTGCCGCCCCGGTAAGGCCGGCTTCGAAAGCGGAAGCGGTCCAAGGCGATGTGGCTGCGCTCCCAGAAGGACGGCCGGGAACTGCTCTCGGACACGGAGCTGGAAGGCATCCGAGCGGAGGGCGGGTGAGAGCGGAACGGTTCTTTGGGTCGGTAGCTGCAGTGTCCCCGGAGGTGGCCCCGTTCCGACGCGTGCCGCGGGCGTGAGAAATTCCTCAGCTGCTGCTGAGAAGACGATGAGGACGAGGAGGAGCCACCGCCTCCGCCCGATCCACCGCCCCGGGTCGGGTGAGGCCTCCGCCGAGGGTAGGGTAACAGCCCTCCACCGCTGCTGCTGCTGCTGCTCCGGCTGTTATTATCGTCGTCGCTAATCTCCCCATCTTCTAACTCCCCTTCTTCCTTGGGCGAGAGGCCGCTGGAGGCCGGGGCCGGAATGTCTGCGGTCGCCATCCGGGGAGCAAGTCCTTCCACACAACCTTAGCCCTCTGTCCGGGGATCCGCCCGGCAATTGCTTTCTTTCTCACCTCCTTTATTTCCTAACGGTCCCGGGCGGCGCAACCTTACCCTATTCGGACACCTAGCGGGTTCTGCTCCCCAACTTCCTCGCTCAGCTTTCTCGTCGGACCATCGCTAGCTAGATCCCTTCCCTAGCGCCCCCTCGCTTCTCAGAGGTCTGAGTTCTTCCGCTTGGCAAGCAAGGGGGCTCTGGAAGTGCAAGTGGGCGCGACATCATTTCCTGCGGCAACAGGAAACAGCGCTTCCAATTCACGCGATAATACCAGGACTCCGCGGTGTGTTATGGGATTTGTAGTCTTTTTGTCTCTCTCCTTGAGGTTCGTCCTTTCCGTGTGCTACTCACAACAACGCCAAAGTCCGGATTGGTACAGCTGGAGGCGTGCCACAGTGGGCGGACCTGTTGCTCCTAGAGGCCTTGAGGGAGCTCCGTAGTAATGGAAGGAGGTAGCACCGCCTCCTTTGAATTGCTCGGAGGACCGCTGCCGAGGAGACGCTGTAGTCGTACTCCTTTATTTGCCTGAGCGGGAGTGGGGGCGTGGGGAGAAGCAACTGTGGCGGCCATGTTGGTGAAGGCAAATGAAGGCGACTGGAGCCCCAGGATGGTCGACTGTGCTGGTCCAAGCCCGCCATCTTAATAAAGAGAAAGGGAAGGTTAGGCTTCCCCCACGATCCCCCCCATACACAGCCCCTCTCTCACGACTCAGCTCGTGGACCCTTACTCTGCTTCACTTGCCCAGCCACTCCCCTTGGGAAGCATAGCCGCCATCGCCTCAAAACAGGCTTAAGACAACGCCGAATGAGGGGGAAAGGGAGATGCCGACCAATTGCGCCGCGGCGGGCTGTGCTGCCACCTACAACAAGCACATTAACATCAGCTTCCACAGGTAACCTGGGCAGGGCGAGGGGGTGGCGGGCGCCGGAGCCCCTAGTCCGCTCCCTCGGGTGACAGAAACGCTGGGCCCCCTTTCATCACTAACGAGCAGCAGAGAGCATCGTGTTGGCGTGTATTTTGCAGGTCTGTAAAGTTTCTCCTCGGGGAAGATTTGTTCATTGAGGGTACAGTGACAGGAGGATTCCTTTCTTTCCTACTCTCGTTTTCTCCTTTTATTATCGGGGTAACACCTATGACACCTTGAGGGGAGGGATCTTCCTGTTCAAGTACGCAATCAAAGAGCTTGCTGTGTTCCCCTTAAATTTAGAAATTCTCTCGCTAACTTCGTTGGCATGGGAAGCACTTAGATAGATAACTGTCATACGCAGCAACTCAGCAAAGGAATTGAGGCCTTTCTGAGGTTTAAGGGGGAAATAAGCGATGTTATGGAAAGTGCTTAAAGTGTCATTCTTACTGCTGTTACTCTCTGTCTTCGAGTTGAATATGACTTAACAGCGACCCTAAAAACATCTGTGCACTTTTGAAAACCTGAATTTTCAGAGCAATCAAAATGTGTTAGTTCTTTCGAGTGAGAACTGTTGAAGGCACTTTGAATGCTGCCTTGACTGTTGTTGATGTGCTGCATCGGTTGTTGTGTTGTTGATGTGCCCCCAAATTGCTCTGAACTCTGCTCTGTGTTGAAGCACCCTTACTATCTCTGACACACCTACCCCCATTACCCGAGTCACTGAGTCAATCCATCTCATCAAGGATCTTCCTCTCCCAAGCATGACGACCTGCTCCAAGGACTGGTCCCTCCTTGCAACATGTCTAAAGTATGTTAGACAGAGCTTCAGAATCCTTGCCTCCAAGGAGCACCCTGATTTTGTCGATGGAAGGAAAAGACAGAAGCAGGGACACACAGGAATGGAGGTCAGGCCAGAAATCGTGAAGGCAGGGGGCTAACTGCTGGGAGAACTGGAGCCCCTATGTTATGCTTTTCTGGGTTTTTATTGAGAATCATCAGGAAGGTAAACAAAGGAAAATCACAAGTGAGTTATTTTTGTTAAGTGTGTCGGAGGCAACTCATAGCAACCCTGTATTTGGCTTCCCACAGCCTGGTTTCACTCTCCAGGATGAATCTGTTTGTTCTCCTAGCAGTTCATGGTGTATTCAATACTCTTCTCCAGTTGCCTCAATTATAATACCCTAACCCCACATCCATAGGTTTCAGAGATTGTAGAGCTTTACAGGAGCTTTCACATCTTTCTCCTTCACATTGTCACATCTTTAGGTCCAAATGGCTGATGGATTCAAACTGCTGATCTCAAGATTAGCAGTTAACTAGCTGTTTACCTTGGTTTCCAGTGCCTGCTTAGTGGAAAGTTCTGTTTTCATACACCTCACAAGATAATACTATTTTAGAATGGAGAAAACTATACCTTTGGCCTTCTCTCTACCATTATATGTACTCTTTTATTAAAATTTCCCACTTAATGTGAGGGCAAATGTGTGATGTTTCTATTTTTAAAACCACTTCATTCAATGATCCAATATTACTAAGGTCCAAATTTGCTGACACTGTGTTAGAATTAGAGAAAATTTTGATTATCTTAATTAAAAATTTAGGTTATAATGAGGGTGAAGACAAAGCTGTTAAGCACCACAAAAGAGACAGAATAAACATAACCTTGAAAAAACAAAAAGTGCTTCTGAAAGAATATAAATGTTTAGAAATGAGAACATAATAAAAAGTGAAAAGAAAAAACACAAGCATGTGCTCATTGTCTATATATTTCTGTTAAGTTTATCAACACATATATTTATTAGACTGTAATGAAGGCTTTTCTCTCAATTATAATACATTTAGGGGTAGAAGTAAGAGGGAGAGGGAAATGAGACCCTGAAAATCACATAAGAATTGAGTAGCTTTAGTTTTCAATCAGCTTTCATCCTGACATGGTGGTAGTACTAAGAACTGTCTTATTTAAGGGAACTATATTCCAGATACACTCCTTTTACTTCTATTATGTAATACCAATCTAATTTCTCCATGGTAAGCAAGATCAATATCACCAAACAGTTTGATAACGCCATTCTTTGCCTATTAGTCCCAAAGTAAGAAGGGTACAGAGGAACTGGAAGCAGCCTTCACTCCCTTTCAGTGGAATCATTATTGCGTTGCCTGGTGGGAACATTCCTCCCTCTGAAACTAAGACCTCAAGACATGCAGACTGCAACTACGATCCCAGAGGTGCACGGTTCGAATCCACCAGATGCTCTGCCGGGGAAGGAGGGGCAATCTCCTCCTGTACCAGTCAGATCTGATTTGACGGTACACGCACACAAAAATAATAAAATTTAAAAAAAAAACATACAGACTATAGAGACATTACAGAGATGGATAGCAAAAATTTTGCAAGTGGGTCACTCAGGGTGATAGTGAATTGTACAGCTCCCATCTTCACCCCTTGATTCTTGGCATCATGAACCCTGGAAATACAGAAGTAGCACCATATGTTTGATACTGGTTTAGAGCATGTAAAGCCTCAGGGAGAATATTGTTCCAGCCTAATAATATATTACCACCTAGCTGTCACCATAATTGTGTTCTTATCATTCTTTCAAGGGAACTCTGATGGTAAAGAGCTGTGCTGCCCCCTCAAAGGCAGGTAGTTCAAATCCATGAATGGGAAAAAGATGGACAGTCTCTTTCCATGTGATTTACTGCCTCTGAAAACCCACTAGATGGTCAGCTATGAGTCAGTTCCAACTAGACAGCACATAATAAAACCAACATCATTCTATCAAGTTAGGTGCTTTGTAAGAGAATGGAAAATATGGTAAGACCAGTAATTTCAGAGCTATAATACCTGCATCTTTTTCATATTTGACTGTTTATCCATTAAAAAATTAATGTTTTCATGTGTACCCCAGAAATTTAAGTCTTAAAAAAATAATAATACTATTCTTAGCCTGTTAATAGTTTAACTCCTCTCCTCTTTAGACATCTGGTTTTTAATCCCTATAAGATACATTGCTTAAATTTACAGTCTCCTTTTTTCTACATCTTATTAATCCACTCAAGTCTAAGTTCTTTTTCCAAAAAAAATCTGAAATTATTAATGAAATGCCCTTTATGTCATTCTGTATTCATTTTTCATAGTCTGTCATATGTAATCATAACCTCTTTAAAGCACTTCACTTTTTAAATTTAATTGACATTAATTTTGTCATTTTCTTCCAACTTCTCTGGCCCATCTTGAGTCTTCTCAGCCATCTCTCTCCCCCCACCCCCTCAGGTATTCCAACTCTAAATGACTTAGTTCCTATGATCTCAGTTATATCTATGTATTGATACCCCAGGTCCTTTTAATGTGTTGGAGACTGTAAGCCATATATATATTCAGTATTTCCTTGATCTCTCCAGTCTCTTACATTCAGTATGTCAAAACTGAGTTAATGGATTTGCCCAAATCTACCCCACTTCTAGTATATATGCTTCTTCAGTAATGGAAACACTATCTACCAGAAAATGTGAAGTATTCTTAACAGCATACACATCATTCTTCCCAAGTCCCAAAGACTACCACAAAAATATTCCTAGAACTAATACGATGCTTTATAATACCATCTAAGCCATCTTCTGTTGTATGTCATTATTTAAATCAATACCACCATTACATTTTGCTTGGATTATTACAGAATCTCTTAACTGAGTCACCTCCTCCACCCATGAATCCTACTCAATCTGTAATCAGTGATTTGGAAGTGTTTAACAACCAGTGCTGTACAGGGGCAGGAAATGGGGAGAAAAACAGGCTGGTTTATTATTAGCCCTTTTTTTTACTTTTTTTTAAAGGGGGTTTTAGTTTGTTTATTTGTTTTTCATTTTATTATTTGTGTGTGTACCATCAAATCAGATCTGACTGGCACAGGAGGATATTGTCCCTCCTTCTCCAGCAGAGCATCTGGTTGATTCGAGTTTTTTACTCTTTAAAATCATGATAGTTAATTGTATGGAGGATGAGACCCACTCGCTAAGGACAAGAAAGTGGTTGTGTGTTTGTGGTGAGTGTGTATGTGCATATGTGGAGGAGGAACTGTACACACACTAAGTGTGTGTCCAGAAGCTCTCTGTGCTTGAACTTGGCATGTGCATGTGTTAGGCAATGTGTGGGAGACAGGATTTGTGCATGTGAATCAGGGAAGGGATGTTGTGTACGTGGTGTATATTAGCCCAGTTTCTGTGATATAAATCTACCATGGCCAGTTTCAAACT